GAATTTGTGTGACTTCAAGCTGAAAAAAAAGCAGTCAAGTATATGGAGGGGCTGTAATAGATGTTGAAAATCTTTCGATGAGGTAATTTTAGTCAAGCATTTTATATTTATCTCCCTTGACACACTGCCAAAGACCTAACTGGCAAAGCCACACGGAGTCCAGAATCAATATATTTGACTGCACTAGAAAGAAGCAATCACTGGAAGCTATCGTTTTTAAGAGATCATGTGACCACAAGACATTGCAACTGTCATAAATGCAATCCAGTTGCCAAGTGCCCAAATTGTGATTATGTGACTACAGGAGTCACATAATGGTTGTAACTTCAAGGATGGGTCATAAATCACTTTTTCAGCACTGTCATAACTTTGAACCCTCATTAAATGAAGGGGTATAAATCGAGGATTACTTGTAAACTGGGAAAAGCTATTCTATATTCTGTGAATACAGAATAAAAAGGGACGTGTTCATATGTATAAATTAGCTCTTAATAATGGCACATCACATGTGCTCATAGCTGAGTTTCCCATGTTCTAAGTGTGTGTTGATCAAACCGTTGATCAGGCCGTGCGGGTCTGGATGGGGAGGAACAGGCTTCGACTCAACCCCTCCAAGACCGAGTGGCTGTGGTTGCCAGCATCCCGATATAGCCAGCTGGTGCCATCGCTGGCTATTGGGGGCGAGTCATTGGCCCCCACGGATATGGCTCGTAACTTGGGCGTCCCCCTGGATGCACGGCTGTCTTTAGAAGAGCATATGACGACCGTGGCCAGGGGAGCTTTTTCTCAGGTTCGCCTGATACGCCCTTTCTGGATCGGGACTCCTTATGCACGGTCACTCATGCCCTCGTTACTTCCCGCCTGGACTACTGTAATGCTCTCTACATGGGGCTCCCCTTGAGGAGCACCCGGAGGCTCCAACTGGTCCAGAATGCAGCCGCGCGGGTGATTATGGGGGCGGCATGACGCTTCCATGTAACACCTCTCCTGCGCGAGCTGCACTGGCTTCCGATGGTCTTCCGGGTGCGCTTCAAGGTATTGGTTCTCATCTTTAAAACGCTCCATGGCTTAGGGCCTGGGTATCTACGAGACCACCTTCTGCCACCGATAACCTCCCACCGGCCAATACACTCCCACAGAGAGGGTCTCCTCAGGGTGCCGTCGGTCAAGCACTGGCTACTGGCAACCCCCAGGGGGAGAGCCTTCTCTGTGGGGGCACCCGCCCTCTGGAACGAGCTATCCCCAGGGATACGACTGATCCCGGACCTCCGTACTTTCCGCCGGGCGCTGAAGACTTTCTTATTTCAGCAAGCCAGACTGGCTTAAAAAATTTTAATGGGTTAATTTTATGGGTAAGGGGTTTTAAATTGGGGAAGTCAAACTGATTTAATTATTTTTTTAAACTATTTTAATTTTCATATTGTATGTATTTTAATCTTGGCTGTTCACTGCCCTGAGTCCCTTCGGGAGAAGGACGGTATAAAAATTTAATTAATTAATAATAAATAATAATAATAATAATAATAATAATAATAATAATAATAATAATAAAAAACAACAACAACAACAACAACAAGTAGTGCCTGGGTTCATAGCTAATACTAAAATAGAAAGCATAATTTATAAACTACTATGTCTAAGGTCACCAAGAAGGCTGTGCCAAGATCAGTCATATTAGGACTTGGAAATAATGATCCCAGCCTTACTGTCACATCAACTGAAATGTTTTGGTGAGCACATTAGGTAAAAGTTTACATCTCAAAGTCACAGTCCAAATTCCATTCAAATCTGTACACAGCATCAGTGCCAATGATTTCAACAGAGCAGGATGGTCTCATTCTTACATATCATTTTACATTGAAACCATGGAGCTTAATTGTATTGCCTTTCAGCAGCAGTATACTATTGCAATAATGAACATTGCTAAGCCAGAAAAACTTGCTTTATAGACTGTATATCCTGCATATCTTAACATTAAGTAAAAACCTGTTTTCACTTGTGGCTGGATCCAGGACTCGGCTTCAGGAACTTCTTCCTGTGCGTTTGAAAGCCCAGGCTTTCATAGGTGTAGTTATGTGAACAAAGACAAGAGTTCCTTATTTCATTGTTATCAGCTGTTATTTGAACTAATTTCTGCAGAGTTTAAGACACATCCAACCAATAAACAACTGCTATGGTACAGAGAGAGTGTGTGTCCAGTGAGTAAAGGCTAAAAGGGAAGCAGTGCCCTTGCCCACTTTAGACTGTACCTCCCCGCCCCCTGCCCCCTCCCACCCCCCGTTGTGTTAAAGCTTTCAAAGGCCTCCAAATAATGCATTTATTACTGATGTGATTATACAATATAACAACCTCCTTCACTGCAGTTCTCTTGTCGGGACAATAATATCCTTAAAAGTGTGGTTCCCGGTTGCTGAAAATTTCCACCGTACCAAGCATTTCAAACAATAATGCAATTGTTAATAATGTTAACATTTCTTTTTGTATTTTACTTCCTGTTAACCACTTTATCCAAATACAGCAAATAAAAAGGTGAAACATAAACTGAATAAATAAATGAACCCCAAACATCTGGCTAGGATGTTGATGAACACTTTCTACATGTTTCTGGGTGATATTATTCTTAAAGATGTGCATAACATGTATGTGCATAAATCTAATAATAATAGAAAGATTTGCCTATGGAAGTAAAGCCTGCATATTAATTCACACGCCTTCTTAAAAGATCAGCAGTTCTGACTTCATAGTGAACAACCATCACTTACTCTTTGATCCCAGTTATTTTGGAAAGTGTTTAGTTTTCAGACTGATTTCCCAAGCAAGTTACAGTTTAATTTTTTTGTTAAATATTGATTTAGATCGGCTTTTTAGTGTGCGAGTCAAAGGAACTGAATCAAAATTCGGTTAAAGGGCAAACTACGTCAGATATCCTACTTGTATCATTATTGTGGGGTATGAATGAGGCCCAATAGATAAGATAACTAGTTGTTATTACACTCTCTCTTTTTTTAAAAAAAACCCTATTAATAGTAGGCAGATGTCTCTTACAATTTTTGTCAAGGATAAGAGCTCTAGAGTTACCGTATATGAACCAAGTTTAAACTAACAGAGAAGGAAAGTAATCTCCAGAGCTAAGAGAGTAATAAACAATTTCATTATCCTTCTAAGCAAAGATAAGAGTTGTTATCCCATTTATCTGCCGAAAAAGCTAAGTCATGTAGAAAAAAACAAACCCAGCCTTGCCTGGATTAGAAGTAATCTATTCAAGATAGGTTCCTTACACTTATTTATTTATTTATTTATTTATTAGTTCAATTTATATGCTGCCCTTCTCCAAAGACTCAGGGTGGCTTACAATGCGTTAAGCAGTAGCCTTCACACTTTTGTATATACCTGCTTAGTAGGGCTTTTGGCCCCCCCTTTCCATTATGAAATGGAAAGCTTTTAAAAATCTTTCAATCACCATATTAAATGTATGAAACCAACAGAACACTTTTATCCATCTAGAAATGGAAAAACCACGGGCACCTAATTTCTCATATAATTCAAAAAGCAAGCAGAGGAAATCGTAAGAGAATCAAAACTGAGCAATTCTGTATGAATTTTCCAATGAGAAGCTACATGATTCAGTCATGACAGACACCAGTGATTTTGGATAAAACATCTACCGGTAATTGTACTGATAATGGTATAAACTGCAGATAGAGAAATCAACTCTAACCTAGATTTCTCTGCAATTGCTTTACTATTTGCAGAAATGCATAAATAACCAGAAACAAGAGAAGCTGTTTATTTCCAAATTTAAATTTTTCTTCAAATATTTTTTTCATTTTAAAAAGGCTTTCCCAACTTCAATGCAAAAATCCATTTTCTTTTGAGCATCATTTCAGTCATACTGGTGAAATTCAAAGAATTAAGGGCTTCATGATGGACGTTATGGCATATAGTGAAGATCAAGTTTAGAAACGAAAGCTCTTTCTAAGAGCCACCAGATGGGAGGCAAATATTTTTCTATAGTCCCCATGCCAAATTTTCCAGTGCAGTGTAGGAAAACTATCTTCCTGTTCCAATTTTTGGCTTCTCCAAAACTTATGTTATCAAATATAAAACATTTAAAAACCACCATAATCTGGACATAGAGAGGTATTGTTTTCATAGGGGCTTTTTTTCTCGGTTTAGAACTGTAGTTTTGAACTTCTAATTTTAACTTTTAATATGTGGAAAGACCTATTTTTGGGATTATAATGGAGAGCAATGTAAAATGACCGGGGGCTGGGGATTCTGTACTAGTTTTGTTTAGGAAACAAACGGAATATCAAATCGTTACTGTACGAATTATTGTATGATGCATCCACTTTTGAAATACTATTTTTAGTTTTGGTAATGTGGAAAATATAATCCTTCAAAAGATGCAGAAACGGGCAACTGAAATGATCTTAATATGAACTTGAAGTATTTTTCCTAGGAAGAAAGGCTAAAACAAACTTAAGTAGAAGGGATTCCGTGTTTGACTATCAAGTGTTCTGGATCATCCAAGAGCACTGCAGAAGGTGGACCAGGCTGCCCAAAATACAGTACGACGCTAAAAGCACCATTTGAAGAGCTGGGAGTTTAATTATTTCATACAGAAACCCGAAAGAAGAGAGCGCTCCCTCCACTACTGGCAGCCCGGAACGCAGCCACCAATAGCCAAGGAAGAAATAAACTCAGCTCCGCCTCTCGCCCATAACCATTCATCTTGCCCTTGACCGGCAAACTGAAGGCGGCAGAGGTTGCCTCATGTAAGCGATACGTCAGGCTACCGCAACCGACCAATAAGAACCCATCCGATCCCTCCCGCAGCCAACAGAAACGCGGCTTGAGAACCGGCGTCGTCCGTGCTTTACGGCAAGCCTCCTTTTCTTCCCCGCCCTTGAACGAGTCAATTGAAAGCGGGGGGGGGGGGGGGGGGGGGGGGGGGGGGGGAAGGGGGAGGAGAGAGAGAAGGAAGAACCGGCGCCTAGCGACGATGGGGGTTGTTATGGAAACGCGAGCGCTATCGTAAGGCAGGGGGCGGGCCGGTCGTAAAAAGGAGGCTCGTTCCCGGCCGCGGAGAAGGTTGTCATTGTTAGCCGCGTCGGCGGTGCCCGTGAGACCTCGGCTGCCTTATTCCTGTCGTTCGCCATGGCGGCGGCCCTGGCCCGGAAAGCCGCGGACTATGTACGCAGCAAGGATTTCAGGGATTACCTCATGAGGTAAGGGAGAGGGCGGTTCGTCTCTTTTGCCCGTTTCCTGCTCTCCACCGCTTCCTCCTTTTGCGGTGCCCCGAAGCTGGAAGACCCTCCGGGGTACTTCAGGTGCAGCGCTTCCCCCCCCCCCGGCTTTGCTATAGCCCCGGTATTTTCTGCCGGTCCTTCCGTCTAAGCTCCTTGTCAGAGCCGACCCTGCTGGGCCGTTTGGAAATGGATCAAGGTCATCTCCCCCCCCCCCCCCCGAATTGGGCTTCGGACGCTGCTCCCTGTCGAACCGAAGTGCTCCGTCTTCCTGCCTGTACTGTATTCTGAGCCTCCTAGAGTCACTGTATATGATTTAGGCGGCCATAGAAACCCTGTAAAATATTTATTTATTATTTATTTATTTATTTAAATATATGTGTGTGTGTATACATATACATACATTCATATACACACACACACATACACACACACATATATATATATATACACCCTGTTTCCCTGAAAATAAGACCCTGTCTTATATTTTTTTGAACCCTTATTGCCATGCACTCAAAACCCGATTAAATAAAAGTCTTATTTTGGGGGAAACAGGATATACATACATACATACATACATACATACACACATACATACATGCATACACACACACACACACACACACACACACACACATATATGTCTTCTTAAGTTTTCGCTGGTGTTCATATGCAAAAAATTAAAATCTCGGGTGTTTTCCCGGTCATTGTAAATAAGTTAGTTAAAATATTTTAAAATTCTGGTTAAAATCCCAGCTTAAAATCTACTAAAAATCCTTACAGAGCACTCTGCAGGGTCCTTTAAAACCTTAGCTAAAATCCTGTTGGAGCAGCAAATATAGATAAGCAACAGCTCCGACCTCGCAACACAGAATCCATAGCTTCCAAACGAAACAAAAGCCTGAAGATGACAGGGTTGTGAGCCTGTCGAAACGTTGCTAGAATAGAAAAACTTTTAAGATACTGGTAGGATTTTAGCTAAGGTTTTAAAGGACCCTGCAGAGTGCTCTGTAGGATTTTTAGTAGATTTTAAGCTGGGATTTTAACCAGAATTTTAAACATTTTAACTAACTTATTTACAATGACGCGGGAAAACACCCAAGATTTTATCTTTTTGCATATATATATATATATATATATATATATATATATATATATATATACATACACATACATACACATACACATACACACATACATACATACATACATACATACATACATACATACATATAGATGTGTGTCTTGGTCAAGGACTGGGATGAAAAGGAAGGCCAGGTTATAACCAGAAGAAAGATGCCATGTTTGTGTCCCAGAGAAGCACAAGTGGAGAAAAGGGTTTGGCTTCCGTATTTGGATATTTGCAATGACAAGTTTTGGAAAAGACCCTAATGCTGGGAAAGATTGGAGGTAAAAGAAGGATGAGATTGGTTAGATAGTGTAATTGACATAATGAACATGGATTTGGGCAAGACAGGGGAGGTCAGCAGGGGGACTGGCAAGCTGTGGTCCATGGGGTCGCGAAGAGTCAGACACAATGTAGTGACTGAACAACTTATAGTTCCCCTTGCAGAGGATTGGGACAAGCCAAAAGGATTATAGCAAGATTGTAATTCTCAGGAAGCAAAGACGGGCTTCACCACACACAAGAGTTTTCTTCTCCTTGAAATAATTGACCTGCTCTCTTAATATGAAAAGCCAGGAGGCATAAACTAGTTTGTGACAAGATGTGTAGTGCATAGGCTGTAGTTTTTAAACTACAAGGGATGCTCTCAAGGGATTTCTAAAATAGAAAAGCAAAGCCAACAGCATAGGCGAAAATGATACCTCTCCCCAGGAATACATGAAGATTGTTTTGAAAATGAGTTTGAGGGAAGGTAGGAACTGTTTGAAGGACAAGGCTCCTGCTCTTTTAAGTCATTTGACACAAGCGTGGCAAGGTGATGGAAGATGCATCTGCTAAATGCTGTATTAAGGCTATATGATTGCTTGGATTAAATATTTTGTTAAATGCTGGGATATGCTTCTGAATAAACTTGTAATGTATTATGTTGTGATTTGTTGCTGTTGTTCATCTCTGTTATTATTTATATATTTCTTAAGAACTGGCAGTTTCTATTTTGAGAATACACAAGACATTGAAGTAAATTTGTTTTTGTTTTCCATATCAAATGATTTTTATCCACAAAAATAACATATTTTACTGAAAATATATATAACTATTTTTGATTTCAGAACTATAGGCATTGTCTTGGAGTAGATTCACTATTTGTATGAATACTTTTGCTTCTGTATAGAAAGTTAACCATCTATGTAGTACTTGGTTTGTTGAAAAGTTAAATATAAATAGATGCTAACTTGAACAAACATAAGTTAATTCCTAACAAGAAAATGACAACTTGTCCTTGATGTTATTTCAAGAATTAAAAATAAGCTTTTTAAATAGGCAGAAAGCTAAATAATACCGAATCATTCATTTACAAACACCAAATTTTCAAGTGCCTCTCTAATAGTAGGCCATGAGAGTGAGCTATAATCTCTGTCAATAATGATTGTCCCACTTCTTGATTGTGAAGGGGGATTAAGGTTTCTGGAAAGCCATTATAATTTGTCACATTGCTGTTAAAAGGTATTAACAAGCAATATCAGTTTCAGGGATCTAGTAAGCATGTGAAATTCCTTTCGAAGTTTTTCCTAGATGATGGTGTTATGGAAGGAAGGAATTAAGAGACATCCCTTCGGGCAGACAGAGTCAGTTTATTATTGCAATAAGGATCAGATAGGTATTGATACCTCAAGATCTGAACAAAGTATAAATTTGAGACCTCAGTCTTTATACATTTTCAAACAAAGGATTCTGTTAACTCAGCAGTTTTATCATTGCAGACATTTGTTACACCAAATGACATTTTTCTAATTACTAAGTTTGTTACATTATCTTTGCAAAACAGTTATAATTCTTCTTGTAAATCACCGAAGCATAGATTCAAATTATCTCTTGTTGATACTTCATGTGGTCATCCTTGGTCTTTTAACCTTCAAACAGTGTATCACCAAATGCCTCTGTCTCTGACAACTGAGGGGCCCCTCTTCAAAGGAATTTGTCTGCCTTTGTATTACTTCAACTGGATATATTTACTTTTCTCAAACAAGCACATTTTCTTTCCTACAATACTATGAACAAAGAGGGCCCTTCAGTGATCATCTAGCTGGACCCCCTACATTAATGGCTATACTAACTGAAGGAGCTGAAGTGCCAATATGTTAAGCCTTGCAACAGAGCTGTCTATCTAAGATTAAGGTTTAATATGCTAGTGCAATAAAGTAACTGATAATTACACCTGCAATAAGTATACAAATAAACATTTAGTTCAGTGGCGCTTTCTCAAAAGTAAATAGGGATAGCATTGCCTAAGAATGTTCCTGATAAATCTGTCCAAAATGCTCACTACTTAGGAGATTGAGCAAATCTGAAGTGAAGAAACCTTGCAATACTTGCCTGACCACTATATTATTATTTTGAAAAAGAAAGATATTTAACACAGCACGATATGTTCTTAACTAAAAAAAACCTTAGTATTAAAAACTGCACACTGGTTAAGATTGTTACTTTATTGCGAGAGAAATATATGTAATTGAAATGGCAATTCAATTTACTGCTAAAAACTTCTAAAATTAAAACGTTTGTTCTATTAGTTATGATATAATTATGTTTCAAGCGTGCTCAAGTAAGATTTTTAGGGAAAATATTGATATCAATGTGGTTAATTATGCATAAGTGCCATTTGAAAATTGTACTATTATTAAAATACTGCCAATATAATGTAACATAATTTTTATTTCAGCTTTTGTTCTACATGTGAGAGTTTTACGTTTTTATATATCTTATATATTTTTAAAAAATATTTACAAATTTACATTATTACATATGAAGATTAAAATCTGCACAACACTTTATTCTAGTACATTGGTAATAGTTTAAGGCTGGAATTCAACAGTATTTTGTATAGATAGGAAAGTATTCCAGCTTTGGCAAGGGAGCCCTGTCAAATTCCCATGGCTTTTGTATCTAGCTGCAATGATCAGAACTTATTCAGAGCCTTTGCAAAGAATCCATTGGCCTTTAGAAGCAATTTGGGACATACATTAGGATTGTAGGGCATATAGAAAAGTGAAACCTATATAAACTATAACAGGAAACTTTTAGCAGTTAATACTAGATATCTATTATATAAACATAACATAGGAATCTTTGATTATTTACTCTTTTTTTTTACATTCCTTATACAAGTTGCTTCTGTCTGAGCATGTCTGATGCGGTGGTGGTTTTGCCAGTATAACTCTTTCGGCATTGATATCATATGATCCCTGTCATCAGTTTGCAGGTCACATTTTTCCCAGTTTTTCTTTTAATTTGTTTCAGGGCATGACTAATGAACTTTTGTTCAAGGTGCTGGCTAATGATTTTCACACATTTATGGGATCCACTATATTTATATCAATACAGTATGGATGCAATACCCCCATCCCACCAGGCCCCAAAATTCATAATATTGCAAAGCAGAGATGGTAGTCATGCTTAATTGGTAAATCAGATATGTGTGAGTATAACTGAGCCATTTTTAAACAAAAAAGGCAGAAATAGTATGCTTCTAAATTATATCAACGCTATGGAATGTTGGTAAATTAAAAGTATTTAATCAATATTTCTATGGTTATTATTTATTTTAGCATAATTATTTTACTAATCTAGAGATACAGAGAACATAATTTGTATTATTACGTGACTGGTAAATGTAGAAATTCCGGTAAAAATAATTCCTTGAAATCTCAAATTATGTGTGAGTATATTTATAATGGGAAAGCTATATAGGTATGGTATAGCAATTAGCATTAAATTTAGAATAAACTTTATATCTTAGCTATACATATTGTACCTAAATTGATTAAGCTTGGAAGTGTCAAGTGTTGATTTTCCTCTTACCCAGTTCCACTTTATTGTACTATTAACCATGCTACTTTGGAACATTTCATAATCCTCTAGTTCTGTAATTTTGGAATAGTTGTGATGACAGTAAAGCTGAGTCCAGAGTGCAGAGGAGGTAACATCTAAAATTTCTATGCTTCTTTTTCCTTCAGAATCAACCCAACCCACTAAATCAGTTTAGTTAAAATTTTGTACTACAACTCTGATAAATAGGTCCTACAGTACAGGACCTGGATATACAATAGTGCTTTCTCTCATATCTGTCAATTAAGATTAGGGAAAGTATTCTTAAAGAAGTATATTTATCAGAGGTACACAGATCTGGATGGTACAAATCTCCTATATTTATATAGGCATTTGACTAAAACTGGTGGTGTCAGTCTGATCTACTGTTGTCCTTTGTTTTAGAGTTTTAACATGGTATAATTTTGTCATTGTTAACAGTTTTAAATGAATTGTATTCTACTTTTAACTGCATTTAGTAATAAAGCGGGCTAGATACATACAAATAAAAACAGATATTTATATATGGAATTCTATTTCATGGAGGCTATTGCCTTTTTTTCTCTTTCACATCTCCTCTTAAATGATGAACCATTATGACTGCTCATCAAACAGTACGGTAAGGTATTATTTCTGCTTCCTTTTAGCCACTTATAATTGTGCCAGTCATAGTATTCTTTAAGATCAAGTCCAGCTGTTCCCAAGGAGCTGTTCCTTTCATTTATAGCACAACAAAATTATTTCCAATTAATAGCTATCCTGGGAAATGCCCCAAAATAAAACTTGAAATTGTGACAGAAGGCTTCCCAAGTCTTTTTTTGTGAAAAAAACATTCTATATGGTTACTCCTTTCATAGTACCTCATTTACAAGTGATAATGAATAGAATTAATTCATTAGTCTAATTGATGACAAAGTAGTTTGCTATGTATGTTGATTATAAACCTGTAGAAATGTGTTCAGTAAAATTCCTTCAAGTTAATCTGTACCACATGTTTGTACCTGCTTTCCTGGATCAAGAGAAGTTAGCATGTTTATGGAAACACAAATGCTAAATTGACCCACTCTGCTTTTTGTCAGGGGGCTAAATGTAGTTCTAATCAAAAAGGGCATTCAGAGTTATACTTGCTGCCAATCAGTCATATCATGGGAGTACACATGTATTTATACCATTTATTTACATACTACCTGTATCCTAAGATTCCTAAGGATCTACCCCATCAGTTGAACATTTTGCATACCTAGTCCTCCAAAAAAAAAAAAAAGCTAGAGAAAAAGAGTTATAGGAAAGCAAATGTCTCCATTACAAAATTGAATTATCAACACTTGGCAACACAGAATTTCTTCTAGGCACTGAGGCTATGGTAGCCAAACTATGCTTACTCTTGGCTGCTTAGCCAGTGGAGAAGAAGCTAGTAGTGCCATGAAGGCTTTCCAGTTCTCTTCTGGTGTAATGGCTTATGGAATGTTTGGTACTTGTGTGTTTCTTTGGAATTGCAAATAGCAGTGATATTATATATGTTTTAGATTAAGGAACAAAATGTGTCCTTAGCCATTGCTTCCAAATGGGACTGCATTAATCAGAAACAACAATCATCTAGTCCTGATTTTTTTAAAAATCTGATTTAAAATATTTTTGAACTGGCAAAAGGGAAAGTTCCTTTTCTTATTGTGTGCCTTTATTATAGCACTTCTGGGGACCTGTTGCCAACTGGGGACTTCCCATTGCTGCCATCAGTGATATGAAGAAATCACCAGAAATCATCAGTGGCCGAATGACATTTGGCAAGTGGTGAAATTAACTTCAGTTTTAAACAGAATTTTTATAAATTGCTAACAAGCTACCTAGATGTGCAGAAGTTGCAATGTTTATTGATTAGTATTACAATCTTATCAAAGAAAATAAAGGTAAAATACAAGATCTGTTTCCAGGATAAAATAGATAAAAAAGAAAATATAATACTAATGAATTCTTAGTTAAATTGCATTGTCTATTGATTTAGCATTTCTGCTAACAATGCATACATTAGAGACCAGGAAGAAATACAACAGTGTGCAATTTAAATCCCAGTGGGCTGTTCTTTCAAGTAAGGATTTCAAATAACTAAGCCCAAAATGGATATTCAGTTGACAATTAAACAAAACATAAGCAAAATCTTTATTGGCTGGGGCACTGCACATACATATATCCTCTCATGATATGGCCAATGATAGCAGTGCCCATATTTGGCCACCGAATCCAACAGCTCAAAATTTGCTCTAGAATAGGTTTCTTAAGCATGGCTTTAAACTCATTGACAAGTATGTTTTTGGTTTTGAAAGTATTTTTGTTCTTAGCCAACCAATTCAAAGATCTATTTTTGCCAAAAGCTTTATGTCTGTTTGGGTACTGATACCATATCTAGGACTCCCTGTTTAAAATTTTTTACTTTGCCTGGAAGGCAACGGAGAATAAATATTAGATAGAAAAGCCATGCTGTAAAATAACTTTGGTAAATCAGCTTACCCAGGAGATGGGCTGACCCATACTATTTGTTCAGCTAAGCATATTTTGGGTAGCCTATCGAAATCCAGTGAGTGGATCCTTTGCCAGTAGATAAAAACTCTTAATAGTTGAGTGGCTGTGTATGGAATGGATACCTATTTCTGCTCTGAGCGCTAGCATTTTCTTATCTATTGCCAATATGCTTCTTATAAAACGGATTGGAAATTGAAGTGAAGTGGTTTTTGTAAGACCCACAGTTCAGTGCTATAAGGTCAGCACTGAGATTATTTTTGCCCTAATTAGTTTCATTATGGGGGCCAAGGTCCCTGGTTAACTGTAATTAAGCAATTTATATAATGTTTTGATACAAGTTTTGATCCATATCTAGCTGCCAATTATATTTCACACTTTTTTTGCTAAATACTTTAGCAAAAAGGAATACTTTAGATTCCGTTTTATTGATGTTTAGAGAATTAAGATCGCAGGTATTTAGCTTTTACAACAGTCTTTTCAGACTTACTTGGGAATACACAGTGACAACCACGTCAGCATATAAAAGGATATTAATACGTATCTCATGGATTTTTAGCATATAAGTGTCTGAAGCATATACGAATCCTGGAATATAATTGACATAGAGGTTAAAAAGCATTTGAGTTAGAATACAACCCTATCCAATATCTTACAGATAGGTATACTGTGAGTTACAGAATTATTTGCACCTGTACACACTTTCAAATGAGTGAGTGAGTAGAGGGCCTTAACCAGGAGTAAGAGTCTAGGTTCCATGTTTAAGATGATCAGTTTCTTTCACAGCATGTTTCTGTTTAAGGAATCAAGCACCACACTGAGATCTATGAAAGCAGAGAACAGTTTATTGTCTTTAATTACTTGATATCATGTAAAACAACACAGTTGTCTATGGTGGAACACTCTAGTCTAAATCCAGTTTATTTGTCCACTAAGAGATAAAATTTTCCATTATCTAGTTCTTTACCTCCTAAAATGTGGAGCTTCCATTTTTACATCAAGGAGGCCCATTGTGAGCCTTTCATGTTTCTTTTAGATGCCAGGGTGGGTTCATTTATAAAATAGTCCTCACTCTTCAGGAATAATATCTGTTATAGTTTTAGCTTTTATTAATAATGTTGTTTTAAGATAGTAAAATATATGTAAAATGAAATTCTTTGGGTATGCAATAACACAGTACTTGCAGAACTAAAAGTGAATGTTGCTCTAAATCTAAGAACATGAAGTCATTTAATCTTTAACTTTGCTTTTACAGCACTTACTTGCTATTCTTTGACTTTTATGAGGTTTGCATATAAGGTGCAACCCAGGAACTGGTTGTTGTTTGCTTGTCATTTCACTAATGAAATTGCACAACTTATTCAAGGAGGAAGGTTGATCAAACATAAGTGAGTATACTGTGATTATTTCTTTTACATTAAGGGTATAACTAAAACTTTCAAATATTTTTTATATTTCTTACATGCTCTGGACTCTAACGTCTATGTCAATGAATTAATCCTTTTCTTCTTCCATTTTTATTCCTCCTGACAGTATGAAAAAAAAATAATTGAATATTTGATTCACGGAGAAAAATTGAAAAGGTGCTGCTCTTCACAGAATATAAGCAAGGAAGGACTTTGTCATCATCTTTTTTTTTTTTTTCATTACCACCATCATGGAAATATTTATACTAGCATTCAGTATCATTTGTTAACTTTTTTAGCTTCCCTTATACAAAGTACTGCACAGCTGTTCAAAAATTAGATCACTTTCCTGCCTTAAAAGAATTTTTTAATATTTACAAAATTATTCAACTCAAATATGTACCAACTTTTCTGAAATAAAAAACCTGCTAATTTAAGAAAAACAAGAAAAGGCATAATTGATTAATATGTGATTTTGAAACTGAATGTTGATTATTTTGCAGTCAGATGTACAAATATATTGAAATTGTGATTCTGCCTCTTTAAGTACATTGGAGCAAAGTAAACTATTCAAGAGCATCATTCTTTAAAAATTACAAAGTCAAGATCGGTTATCAATTCTCCATATAAGCAATTGAAAATGAATTCCTCAGTTAACTCTTGTGAGGTTAATAGTTTAAATATGTTATGTTTGCTAATGTGTATATTTGACATTTGTAGCTAAAATTATTTTTACCAAGAAATAAAAAAGGCAGTGAAGTGCCAATTAATTTATGAGTGGATTCGAACAAACTATATCCTGATTCATACTTATTGTATATTTTACATTAGAATACAAGATTAAGCTCTGTGTCCCCAACTACATGATTTGGCAAAATATACCATCGTATCTTTGTATGTAAGTATTCTGCAAATGATACATTCAGTGCCCAGTTGTTTTATAGGCACACGTACCTGTGAGCAAAGTAGGTACAGTGCTACATCCCATTATGGTGTAAGTAACATCTCTTTTAAGAGCCCAGTTGAACTCTCTTATTTGTAACAAATAAAATAAATAGTATGATTCTATTTTTGCATTCATTGGCAGATGCCATATTATTAACACCAAAACAAAAAACAAAACCCTGCATATAGGAATGAATATTTTTGAAAGATTATTCGTTTAATTTGACCTTTTTGTTGTGATTTTTATCAACAATTGTAATGAACTATATATAGATTGTCTTTAATAATGTTATTTTACTTCAACAACTTTGGGGCAGTAAACCTTCCCTATGGGGAGAAATTACAACATGAATGTTCTAATGGCAATAAACCACTTTGAAACAATTTATAATTTTAATGGTGTCAATTTAGAAAACGGTACTTCTTAAGGTAGAACTTCTTAAAAATGAGATCCATTTTCCTTCCTCAATACAATATTTCAATTATCATACCAACATAACAGAAAATAGACACGTTTTTTCTTTTGTACTATTATTTACTTCTGTTGATGTGGGTTCTGTTGGTTAATAGAAAAGAATATGGGTATAAAAATAATAAGCTATTACTATTCCCTAAACTTTATCAGACTTTTCAGAATAATTAAATGTTTTTAATGATGGAAGACTGCATATATTTCTCTATAAAAAAGACAGGTAAGCAGAATTCTCTTCACAAAATTGAGGTTTCAAAAATAATTTATTAATTCACTATAGGCATCCTTGGATCAAATTCCAGCATATATAATAAAAAGCTTTGCATCATTAGGATATGGCGAAAGTGCATTTTAATTATATTTTAACATATAAAATATATTAGTTGCTACTTTTACATACTTTCTTTAAGGAAAACAAGATAATCAATTCTAGATATTTGTTTATGTAAAAATGAGGTGATTTCTGAATTACAGAAAACTAGCTCCTGGGATGTAGTCTGGTTGTATAGAAAATTTGTTCAGTTTTATTATACAGATAATTAAATGCACCCCCAAATATATTTATGGATTAATTCACATTACAAGATGTTGCAACTATTCCTATATGCTGTGAAGCACAGCAATATGTGATGGTGATTGCCTCCAGATTTTATATAGCCATGGAATGGCTTTAATATAGAAAACTAATTTCCTGAAAATTTTCTGAAATAAAGTTGTTCATCCATAATGTGATTTTTGTTTCCTCCTATTAATACTAATGGGTTGCAAAAATAGGCAAATTTATCAAACTTTATTCCTTTTGTCTTAAAAAGAACACACAAACAAAGCTGCATACCGCATATATCTTCTTCCCTTATGGATAAAGTTCTTGGTATTCTGGTTGCACTTGCGGCATGCCAGCAAAATATGTTCAGAGTGACAAGCTCCATCTCCCCAATAAGGAAAGCTACATGTGGAATGGGTGTGACTAAGGATTTTCTATCTTTCAAAAAAAAAAAAAAAAGGCATATGAATTATCAATTGTACAACTCCATGATGGCAGAGAGATCAATATTTAGAGCTGCATGATGATGGAATAGGGAAAATTTGAAGAGAATGTAAGAGTAAATAGTAAAAAATATGTATCAAGGACTGACAGAAAAAAGGGAAAACCAATAGGAAGCAAAAGGATGCCATAAATTCCAATGAAATTGCCAGATATTGTGGAATGCATTTAGGAAAGCAAAGATCTAGGTTTAATTATGAATGAAAAAGACCACTGATATGTCAGAAATTAGCCAGTTTTTCATAGTGGTTAAGGCATCAGGCTAGAAACTGGGAGACCATGAATTCTAGTCCCATGATGGGCAAAAAAGCTAACTAAGTGACCTTGGGCCAGTCACCATCTCCCAAATCTAGGAACAATATTAGGGCAAACCACTTTTGAAAAAGTGCCAAGAAAATTGCAGAAACCAGTCCAAACAATTGCTAGGAATAAAAAATTGACTTAAAGGCATAAAAATCAGAAATTATGAATTGCTATTACCGCAATCAGTGACTCATAACCTTGGAAAATTTAAGATTTCAAGATTGAGAAATGTTGATCTAGTTTTTGTCATATGACCATAAGAATTCATGGGTTGGTGATTAATACAAATTATGCTCTAGAGTGCAATGGAATGAAAGAACCAGAGAAATGTAGGGGGAAACTATACAATGCTCTGAATGAATGGGGTGGGGTGGGGGTGATAATATTTGGTTAGGATTCATGAATGGGTAGGTTGAGTCAAGATGAGAGAGCTGAAGAAGCTTCTTGGATGAGAAGTGAAACATCTTCAAAGAAAAACCAGAAAGTCCAGTTGCCTCTTGAAAAAGTACCTTTGGCATAAGATGAGACAATAGAGAAAGCTGATTGGACCATTAAATAAATGGTTTCAGGCTGTCTATTCATATATTTATAAATATATATATATTCACATAGAAAAGACACTGATTTTGATGCTTATGACAGATTAGGTGAATTAGTGAAAGATAAAGGTGATGTGAGGTTCTGAATATGGGGCATTATTGGGCAGTGTTAATGTGAAATATAAGCTTAGCTTATATTGTTCCTCATGCAAAAAATCTAGGGTTGCAAGTTGTCATCGTTGACTTGATAATACATAATTTATTGTTACATTCTGCCTATTCTGTGACAGTCCTACTGAAGGCATTTATTTATTCTGTTTATTTTTAGACGCCAGATTCTGACTATTTACACAGTAGGTACTATGTTTATATCACATACTTAAAGAAGAACAGGGTGGCCCTTTGCCCCATCAATAACGAGCAGGATTGAAATCCCATTTTTGTCCCAAAGGTGCTTTTTCAAGAAGGCAACTGGACTTTCTGGTTTTTTCTTTGAAGACATTTCGTTTCCGATGAGAAGCAAAACGTCTTCAAAGAAAAAACAGCAAGCCCAGTTGCCTTCTTGAAAAAGCACCTTTGGGAAAACCATGACCTGGATGACTGAGAATCTCCACAGACAATCCCATTTTTGTTACATAGTTTGGGTCGCCTGACAAAACTCCTGCAGGGGGCTGGACTAGATGACCTCCAAGGTCCCTTCCAACTCTGTTACACTGTTACAAACAGCACCTTTCAAGCCTCGTCCCCAACCTTATGAAACAGCAGCCCTTCCATAGAGCAGCTCTGTAACGTAGCTTGCCTCAGCGAGTTACCCTTTTTGCTTGGATCACTTTGGGCAGTAGCCGGATTGACAGTGGTGGGCCGTAAATATTGGAATAGTGGCGGCTTCAGAAGCACTGACTGTATCACAAAGAGTCGAATAACCGAGCACTTATTCGTGGAGAAGAATTCTGAGGCCGCTCTTCAGCCAGCATATACGGGGAGCGGGATTAGCAGTTTATCCTAGAAACCGCATTCGTCAGCAATCAAGAAAGGAGGCGAGCCAGTCCATTCGCAGGAATTTTTTCCGGCTCCTCCCCTTCCGGTTCCGTTCTCCCAGCTTCCGTTTCGACGCTTCCTTAGAGGGGAAGAGGAGCCGTTCCAACCGAAGCGCTCAGCCTCGGCGGGGTTTGGGGGAGGGGTTGTTTTTCGGAAGGGATCAGAGGCGCGGAGGTTGCGATGGAGAAGCTGCGGCGGGTGCTGAGAGGAGAGAAGACGACGAGGAGCAGGGCCTGACAGCGCAGGTGTGGCTTGGGGGTCGGGGAGGGGTGGGGTGGGGTGGTGGGGAAAGGCGAGAGAGACTCCCTTCGTCTTTCCCGCTTTACCTCCGAGGGTTTCTGACTGGGTTTTCGGGGCGCCCTGACGGGATTGCCCCGCTTCCTCAGGACTAACGCGGCGTTGCTATTCCTGCCTATCGTTACTAGAGAGCAAGCGAGTCGCGAACGCAAATGGAGGATCTGTTCTGAGCAATACTGATGGCACCGCTGTATGTGGGGTATGTCAGCTTAGCCAGACAGGCCGCCTATACACCCCAAGCATCAGGGGTCTACACCCTCGGGCACTCTCCGACTTGTGAACTTCAACTCCCAGAATTCCTCAGCCAGCGCATGCTGGCTGAGGAATTCTGGGAGTTGAAGTCCACAAGTCGTAAAGTGCCCAAGGTTGGAGACCCCTGCGCCTGGCCCTGGATCATAGGCTCCATCATTCCCTGCCGGCGGGGTCGTGTCAGTGCGGACTGCGGTGTTCGTACACGGGGGAAACGCTAGGCTAGGAAAGCTCAATCTTGGTTGCTCTGAATTAGCTGGATAAAAGCGTCTCTCTGCTCCTCCTGCCACAACTAGGGGCTAAAAAAAAAAAGTTTGATTAAAACGAAGTCGGAGGTGTTTTAGGGAAGTTATTGCCTGCTGAATGAAAATGAGAACTGGTATTATTTTAGCAGACAAGAGGGAAAGGATCTGTAAATTGTAAGTTTTTGTGTTCATCTTAAAAAAAAAATGTTCTTTCCATTATGGCAGACACAGACGGTGGTGAGTCTGTTGTCAGCTTTTTGTTCTGTTGAGAAGGCCATGAGCGGAATGGTAGATCTCTGCTTTGGCGTCAGGGCTTATCAGATGTTAGTCCTCCCAAGCATGTTTGGGAAAGGCTGCCATCGGAAACCTTGGAAAGCTGTTGTCAGTCTGACGAGTTTCTGCTGTGATATATGGAGCTGAAATGAAATGCTTCAGAAAGTGCAGTACAGCTTCTGTTTAATCACAAGGCAATCTGTTCTATTGCTGGCCAAAAACATTTTTTTATTGATATTGTAATGAAATGTACTTCCTTGTACTGTAAATACATTGTTTTTTGTCCTGGTACCTGGGACGACTCTGAACAATGTTACCCATATTTCACATGTTAGTTCTTCCAATACCTGAAGTTAACTATCAAGTTTCAGTAGATATTTCTCTTCTTCTGGCTAAAAGTACCAAATACTCCCAACCATTTCTGATAAGCTTTCCTTTCAGGCCCCTTATCATCTGGACTGTTATCTCCTAGATGCATAGCTATTTGCTATCATTTTTCCTAAATACAGTACCCAGAGTTTGATGCAATGTTCTAGGTGCAGCATGGCCATCACAAATAGAAGATAACAATAGCTTATCTTGGTCTTGCCACTGTACTTATTTAATGTAGATATAGATTGCATTTTTGCAACTGCTGGTTCCTGTTCATCTTTTGATCTATCCATTGCACATGTGCTGCTACCTGACATAGCTCCACACAACATATGCTACCTGACATAGCTCCCCACAACATATGCTCTTAGATATTGTACAGATTATAAGCATGCAATCATCACTTCCAGGTTGACGCAAGCCATTCACAAGCACTTAATTGGTCTGATTGTTCAAACAGCTTTGTACCCACCTAATGATAACATAAAGAGCCAGTGGACTTGTTAAGACATCAGGCTAGAAACCAGGAGACTGAGTTTTAATCCTTGTTA